GATAGGCCACACAGTGACCTCTCAGATAGGCCACACAGTGACCTCTCTGATAGGCCACATCCTGACCTCTCTGATAGGCCACATCCTGACCTCTCAGATAGACCATACAGTGACCTCTCAAATAGGCCACACAGTGACCTCTCAGTTAGATCACATCATGACCTCTCAGATAGACAACACCATGACTACTCAGATAGACCATACCATAACCACTCAGATAGACCATACCGTAACCACTCAGATAGACCATACCGTAACCACTCAGATAGACCACACCATGACCTCTCAGGAAGATCACACCATGACTACTCAGATATACCACACCGTGACCTCTCAAGTAGACCACACCATGACCTCTCAGATAGACCACACTGTGACCTCTCAGGTAGACCACATCATGACTACTCAGGAAGACCACACTGTGACCTCTCAGATAGACCATACCGTGACCTCTCAGGTAGACCATACCGTGATCTCTCAGGTAGACCATACCGTGACCTCTCAGATAGACCACGCCGTGACCTCTCAGATAGACCACGCCGTGACCTCTCAGGTAGACCACGCCGTGACCTCTCAGGTAGACCACACCATGACCTGTCAGGTAGATCATACCGTGACCTCTCAGGTCGACTACATCATGGCCACTCAAGTAGACAACATCATGACTACTTAGGTAGACCACCTCATGACCACTCAGGTAGACAACCTCATGATCATTCAGGTAGACCACACCATGATCTCTCAGATAGACCATGTCATGACCACTCAGTTAGACCACACCGTGAACTCTCAGGTAGACCATACCGTGACCTCTTAGATAGACCACACCATGACCTCTCAGATAGACCACACCATGACCATTCAGATAGCCCACACCATGACCTCTCTGGAAGACCACACCATGACCTCTCAGGTAGACCACATCATGACCATGTAGGTAGGTTTCATCATGGCCACTCGGATAGATTTCCTCTTAACCATACAGAGAGAGCACTTTCTAGCCACTCAAGGATAGCTCATCATGGCCACACAGAGAGAGGTAATCGAGCCCACAGAGGGAGAGCTCATGATAACCACAGGAGGTTAGCTCATCACAACCATGATGGCAGATCTCACCGTGACCACTCAGGGAGAGCTTATCATGGCCATGCAGAAAGAGCTTGTAACAACCGGTCATGGAGAGCTCGTAACAACCAGTCATGGAGAGATCGTAATAACCAGTCACGGAGAGCTCGTAACAACCGGTCACGGAGAGCTCGTAACAACCGGTCACGGAGAGCTCGTAACAACCGGTCAGGGAGAGATCGTAATAACCAGTCACGGAGAGCTCGTAACACCCGGTCACAGAGAGATCGTTATGACCGCTCATTGAGAGCTAGTAGCATCCAGTCTTGGATGCTTCATGAAGGAGAAAGATACCATGGTCGAAGAGGAAGATTTGGAACAAGGGGTGCATCACCACCAGAATCTGAACCTGAAATTGACAGGTAGAAACAAAATCAGTATTTTATCAATGTTAGTACAATGTTTTGAATGATAGAGAAATGTATAAGCATGCTTTCTCTTTCTGTGCCTTAATAACTAAATTTGTATTTTCCCAATTCAGACACTGTTCCAATTTAGACATGCATTGGAACAATTACATGGTTCATGATATCAATTTACATGCACATGCAATTGCCAAAGTTTGTTTCCCAGTTTCTTGTCTTTCCTACTAGGCCTATCCACTACTCAGAGTAGCTACTCCTTTTGTATCTTCCAAGCTGGTAGGCAAGGTAATATACCAACAAAGTATGCTAAATTGATATGATAGGATATAAAAAATGGTTATCAATCTGTTTCTTTCTTTTATCTCCTTCCTTAAGAGTCCTAAAAGTCTTTATGAGAGAAATTATATCTCCCTCTGTGTGTTTGTGTGTATGTGAGTATGTGTGTATATGTGTGAGAGTGTGTATGCATGTGTGTGTGTGTGTCTGTGTGTGAGACAGAGAGAGAGAGAGAGAGAGAGTATGAGAGAGAGAGAGAGAGAGAGAGAGAGAGAGGATGAGAGAGAGAAAGTATGTGTGTGTTGTTGTTGTTGTTGTAGAAATCATGCCAGAGCTTGTGCACACTATGTCTAAGCCACAACCTCAGCCCAACAAGTATATCTTTGAGCAGTTCCTCCAGATCTACTGTCCAAAGTGTATGTTGTCTTCAGCTGTAGGGTCTTACCTTCAAGTTACATGAGGCAAACAGGGCAACAGCAATAGCCTATATTATTTTGAGAGTCTCTTCTATTCCTATGACTAACAATTGAAGAGGCTTCCCACACATAGCACAGGATTTTTGTTAGGTAGTCTATGATCCTTGTGGGGAGAATTGGCACTTAGAATTATATAAATTCATTCAAACTACATACATCTGTTTAAATGTGCACATACATAACATATGGATTTTAAGTGAATAAACTGATTTTTTCCTATGGCTTTGTTAACCATTCTTGATGTTATTTAGGGTTCCTTTCTTTCTCTCTGTATTGCTTTCCCCCTTTTCAGCTAAATCTTTCCCGTTTTCTCATTATTCTCTCATAGCACCTTTGTCCTATTTCACTCCTCTCTAGAGTTCCTCCTCCCGCTATGTTCCCTTGTACTTTCCTGGTTTCTCAGGTTATATACTCACACCTAAAATTCAGATAAAGGTAGAACATGCAACATTTGTCTTTCTGGGTCTGGATTACCTAACTTGGTATATTTCCTAGTACATTCATCCATTTGCTTGCAAAAGTCATAGATGTAGCATACAGCTAGTAACTGATTCCATATGAATATTGTAAAGAGAAATAATTTGTAATGCTCTCCTTTAAAGTGTTAAATAGGGGTCTAGAGAGATAGCTTAGCAGTTAGAGCACTTGATGTACTAGCATGGAGACTAGAGTTCAATTCCCAGCACCCACACAACAAACCAGGGATCCCACACAAACCTGGACACCAATTGCTGAGATGAGGAGAGACAAGATGGTCACTGGGGCTTACTAGCTTCCATACTAGCCAAGAAAATACAAGCCCCACTGTCAATGAGAAACCCGCTTCAGAGCAATAAGTGGAAAGTGATAATGGAGGAAATATGCTGTCCTCTTCTGGAATCTGCATGTATATAGGAACATGCATCAACACATATGTATACTCTCACAGAGATGCATGTATACATGAAATTAAATAAATCATTTGTATATGTTAAATAATCTGTCAATGATACGAGTTTTTAAATTTTTTTCTAATTTTTCACCCTTTATGACAAATATCAGATTTTCTACAGTAAGAGAAAGGACTGAATATTTATGGGCACAGGAACAGGAAAGAAGTGAGATACTTGATCTGAATTCAGAGGTAAGTGAAATACTTTCTACTTTCTACCACAAAATTCTACATGGTTCCATGTATTATTTTCTTTTAACTAGGATTTCCTTTTGTGTCTTCTTTGCTTCTTCAAAAGATTAGTATTTATTTTTATTTATGATTGTGACTTGGGGAAGTCATCTTCTGAGCTGCAGTTTTCTGACATGTTAAGGAGTCTTAGACTGATTTCTCTCTAAGGGCACACTGCCTTTGACATTCTTGCATGTGTGTACAGTATCAAGTTGAGTGTTACACTTGTAAGGTCAGCAAGAATAAAAGACAGACACAGGACTGAGGGACTCCGTAACAGCACAGCTTTATTTGGGAAAAGATGTGTAGTGGGAAGATCACTAGTTAATGACACTAGAGAGCCAGATGCCCTCTTAGACGCAAGAATTGTTAGAGGGTGGGAAAGGGAGGAGAGGACAGAAAAATCTTCCTTTTTGGTGTGATCTTGGCCATTGCCAAGAGTAGCCAGTCAGTGTTCATTTAAAGAATGTCAGGGGGTAAGTATGACTTGACTAGTCATTACCAGGGAGTAGAAACAAGAAGAGGCAGGAATCTAGAAAACAATTTACTTTAGTTATAGGGATAAAATCACTTCAGTTTGGGAATTGTTATGGCTAACCAAGATGTAGAAGCTTTACAAAATGGCCAAGACCATAGTTAACAATATTAAGAACCAAGGAAAAGGAGGCAATATTGTCATTTAAATGTTAAGACTTGCAATTCAGATTTTAAAAACTCACCTTATTCTGAATGAGAATGTCATTTCAATAATTTATCTCAACTTTTTCCATTTAGCTAGAAGATGACTCCAGCAGCTCTGAAGAGAGTGACGAAAGTTCTGACAGGTAACTTTACACAGACTGTGTAGTGCTTAGAGGAAAATATATAAAGCAGAATCGAATATAAAATCAGCACATAGCCTTACAATCAGAATATGAAGACTCCTTAACAATTTGTATAAACAATCATACTCAGAAAAGTTTTAATTATAACTGCTTGGCTTGGTTTTATTTTTATTTCTGAGACTTTTATATATCATATTCTGATTATACATTTAAAATATAATTTTGCATCTAGACTAGATATCTCTCTACAGGAATTATCACTGATGAAATCGGTACTCTATGGATTTTTTTCTTAATTTCAATTTTAAGATTTAAATCTCTTCCATGCATTAACAGTGTATGCTAGACAAGCTAAATGAATCGCAACACAGCATTTTACTAGCAGTAGTAGCAAGGCTTTAGCCTGTGGCGATATTGAGGAGGCAATAATTCTGTATTTATTTACCCTTTCTTAGATCTTAGTTGATATTGACCCCTGTAACAAAAACAGGATGAAATGTAAACATAAGTAAAGCAGAGGTTCCTTGACATGACTCTCTGCTCTACGTATAGGAGGTAGTGAGGACCAACACAAGTAGACCGCAAGAGCAGAGTTGAACGTGTGCTGTTAGATTTTCTACTTAAAGACCATCCTCCCTGAAGCAAACAGAGATACAGGGAAAGGCCTGCTCAGGGAGATGGTCAGGAAAAGAAGGAAAAACGGGGCCTGCCTTTATTGTTTATCTTCCTCTTCATAGGGCAGAAAGAGAAACCCTTATAAATTTTTTTTTTTTTTTTGGTTTTTCGAGACAGGGTTTCTCTGTATAGTCCTGGCTGTCCTGGAACTCACTCTGTAGACCAGGCTGGCCTCGAACTCAGAAATCCACCTGCCTCTGCCTCCCAAGTGCTGGGATTAAAGGCGTGCACCACCACTGCCCGGTGAGAAACCCTTATAAATGGACACTAGCTGTCATAAAAGGGTGACTTTTACTTTTTTTGTTTAGTTTGTATTGTGTTTCTCAAAAGGATTAACTCAGTCATGGGGAAAAGGGCTAGTTTATGGATGGTATATTTTGCCCTCATACAGTGGTATTTGGCGGTGTCTCTATAAATTTCTATCAAAGATACCAGGAGAATGTATAGAAATGAGAAAGAAATATGTTGCTATAGTACCTTTGAAATGGACCTAACCAAAGATACTTGTAAAATAATTGAAAGCTCTAAGTAAGTACTTTTATATCCAGGGTTTAATCTAGCCTTAGAGTTCTTTATGGTAAGATATACCATTTCCATGTTACAGAATGATAGATTGAAACTTAAGGAATGCTTGTAGTTGTTTTGTTTCTGGCACTACTGGGAATCAAACTTAGAATCATGTACATACACTAACTGAAAAGATACACCACTGTGCCATGGAGCTCTGCTCCAGCCAAGGAAGGTGGTGTTTTGTGTTGTGTTGTTTTTTTAACTCCACTCAAATCAAACAACTAATTTGAAGGTACATTCAAATACAGTTTGTGATTCTATAAAACTTACATGGGTTTTTTACTGTCCATATTGCCTTTCTACAACTACAAGTACAGAGGAGGTGCAATTCTTGCAATACTAGAATTTTCTTTCTTTCTTTCTTTCTTTCTTTATTTTTTTATAATTTACTTTTTTTCGAAATACTAGAATTTTCATTACCTTTTGTTGCTTAAACAGTTACTATAGCTGTAGGCAGTGTATTCAGTCTTGGTGAGTAGGAAAAGGATAACCACAACCAGGGAGGAAGAATGGAAAGAAGTTTATTATTTGAACAAGTGATATGAGAAAATGTTTGGGTTATCTCTGAGAGTGTACAGCCTTTCTCAATTTGTGGTGAGCTCAGCTTTAGACAGGTAAACTTCTGGGAAACTCAACATCCACTAGAGATAGTTGTTTTCTAGTTCCTGTTTTGCATATTTGAAGAATGAAATTCCTGGGCCATGGGGCTGAGGGAGAGTTTTAGGAAGAAACATTTTGTTTTAGCTTTAAAGAAAGAAGGCATGGTTCCTATAGAGGAAGGCTGTGTCTCCAGGGACAGGGAAACGTTGAAGTGCTACTCTGGGGATTACTTTAAGAACTTAGGCAAAAGCTGATGTGAGGTATAGGGAGGGAAATACGACTGTCAGTCCAGTAGCACATCCAATATGAAGTGTCTGGCACATCCTCACAGAGCTGCCCAGGCAAGACTAAGAGGTACTAAGAAACCAGGAAACAGAATTCTCTTCTGATATCCTTGGCCTCCAGAAAGGACATTCTCAGACCTGCTTCTTTGGACCCTAGCATATTATAGAACATGATGCTCAATCAGAGATCATATACCATATGTTAAAATACAAAACAAAAAATGTTGTCAAAATGTCTTTAGGTGTGGAATTTAGTACAATGAAAGGAAAAAGTGTACTCAGGGTCAATTGAAGTGAATGAGTCACAGACTAAAAATTTCTCTAAAGGCTTCAGCTCAAACAGTAGCTCAACAAACAGATTTGAAAGCTAGGGTTATTTAAAAAGTCATTTCAAACATTAGTAGCCCTTTCTCCACACCCCCCACCCCATCCCCCTACACACACAGGAATTTGCCCCATAACATGCCTTCCTGGCATCTGCCATTACCTCACACAACACCTAAGTACAGGACCCATCCATCATCTCCTAGCTTGGTAGGTTACATGTCTAGGTTTGCTTGGCTGTTGTCTATTAGAGACTAGTATACCTAACATTGTAGTTTTGTCCTGGGTACCCTCTTATTAGAAGGCTCTGGGGAAGTATCTACTTCCTAGATCATTCTAGCTGTTGGTAGAATCCTGTTTCTTGCTGCTTGTCAGAGTCCATTCTTTCAAAAACAAAACCTGAACTACCTCCCTCTCCCTCTTGTAAGAGACCAGTTCCATCTTCAACACAACCCACATGCATATTTCTGTTGAAATTGCATCCTTCTCACTGTCTGTCTTCCTGGCTTCCACTTCTATCTTTGTCCTATGATTGCATTAGGCTAATCAAGGTATATGTTGATATTTTGGTTTGGTTTGCAGGTATTGGTTTCTTTTTTTGGTTTGTTTTGGTTTGTTTTATGTTTTTTTGAGACAGGGTTCCTCTATGTAGGCCTGACTGTCCTAGAATTCACTCTGTAGACCAGGCTGGCCATGAATTCAGAGATCTGCTTGTCTCTGCCTCCCGAGTACTGGGATTAAAGGCCTATGCCACCACTACCTGATGGTATATTGTTAAAGGAAAAATGGAAGGAAGGAAGGGAGGAGGGAAGGAAAGAAGGAGGGAGGGAGGGAAGAAGAGAAGAAGGAAAGGAAGAAAGGAGGGGAGGAAGGAGAAAGGTAGGTAAGTTGGTCTGTTGGTAGGTCAGAGAAAATGCAACAAAAATTTTAAGAGGAAACTAACATGAAAGTAGTCAGTAGAGTGCTTGCCTAGAATTGTATAGCCCTGAGTTCCATGCCTAGCACTGCAAAAGGAATGGAGGGAGAGATGTAAGAAGGAGGGGAGGAAAGAAAGTAATTATTATCTAATTATACATTGATCTCTCATCCCCTCCTCACATAGTGTTTGGTCCACTCAAAGCCTAAGAGGAACAATATTCATAAGAAAACAGAAAGTTGTTATAGAAAGTACCTTGCTTATGCAGAACTACTGACTACAACTCAAGTAATAATATCAAAATAGCTACACAGCCTTTGGACATTTGTTGTTTTATAGCAAAGTAAGACTGCATATGATAAACCTATTCCCTGATATTATTTAAGCTATATAGTAAAAAATCCTTTCTTTTACTAGGGATGTAGTCCAGTTGGTAGACTGTCTAACATTTATGAATCTCTTGGTTCATTACCCAGAAATGCATAATACCAGGTTTACTGACCTATATCTGCAACCCCAGCACTGAGGAGGGAGGGAAGAGTATCCAAAGTTCAAGGTCATCTTCAAGTATATAATGAAATTAAAGCTAGCCTTGGATACATGACATGCTGTCTCAATTTTTTTGATGTTATAGTGTTAATTGACATGAAGGGCTATTATAACAAAGCATAATCCAGAACCACTAGCAGGCATACATGAGGCCCTTTGCAACAAATGTCAAAAGGAGACAAACTGGCTTTTATACTAATTCCTATATAACAAGGCTGCCCTTAAAGTCAAGATCCTACTGCTCCAAATCTTGGTTTGGCAGATTCTTGGTATGTGCTACCACATTGTTTTCCATTGTCTTTTTGTTAGGTGGGAGACATCAAAGACTTGATGTCATAGGATGGCTTCAATCCTCTATGTAATCAGGTGGCCTGTAAATGAAAATCCTCCTGCTTCAATCTTCAGGTTTGGGGAGGTACTAGATATGTGCTCCCACATTGACTTTTTGGTCCTATCTTCATTTCAAATACTTACGGTGCTAAGATGAGACTCTGGTTTCACACAGGCTAAGCAAGGGTTCTACCACTTTTCTGCACTCTTAACCCTCAAGGTAACATTTTTATATATTTTTTCCTTTTTGTTTAACCTTGAGAATCATTTTATAAGTTCGAAAAAAGACATAGAAACAGGGTAGACGAGAAAAGTTAGCAGCTGCCAGGAGGAGGGAGGTGGAGAAGCAAAAGAGAGGAAGTCTTTTGACATAGGGTTCAAGTCTTTTGACATAGGGTCCAAGAAAGCAAACATATTTGTCAGATTGTGGGGAAGAGTAGTCTGCAGAGAAAGAAAAAGAATGGCCAGACTGTCAGAACAGGCTTAGGAGTTTAAGCATTATTTTAAAGGTGATAGAAATGGGGAGAGGGAACGTTACACTTTTGAAGTTGGGACTCAGGAAAGTGGGTAGGTAGTGGTCAAGATCAGCAAGCAGCTGCTTTGGTTGTTTCTTTGTCTGTTTGGTTTTGTTGGTTTTTTGAGAGGGTCTCATATAGCCAAGGTTGGCCTAAGACTCTCTGTTTTCAAGGATATTTATGAACTCCTGATCAATCTGCCTCTATATACTGAGTGATAAGATTATAGGCACAGCTTCAATCAATTTGTCTAAGCTACAATTTTTATATTGTATAGTTAGACTACTCAGTTCTATGGCTTATAGTAGATTAAGACATGTGAAATCTTGATCATGATCTGATTTTTGAATATTTTTACTGTTGGCCCCCAAATGCCATGCTCTTTTGAGTCATTCCTCATTCAGAACATTCTTTCCCCGTGTTCTCCACATCCTAGTCCAAGGCACTCACAAATCCACTTTCTTCCTATGTAAGTTTGATTTTTTGTTCCAAAATATACTACACTTAAAGAAGAGTAAAACTGGATTCCTATGTAAGAGGTAAAAACTCACCTAAAGATGTAAATTAATAATATCACCAAGGGTTAGGAGTATAATTCAGTGGTAAAGCACACACTTAATACATTAGAGGCCTAAGTTTTCTCAGCAGCAGGGAAAAGCCTACAGATATACTCCCTGATTCAGAACATGGGTTCTAAAGAGAGCATAGATGATACTTGAATGTACCTTCTTCTTTGAAACCTCTAGAAATGAGACCTACAGACACTAAGTTGAAGGCCCCAAAGGTACTCATCTGATTAGAGGCCACTACAGTGATTTACTAATTATTATACTGTAATTGACAGTTGCTGGAGACCTGAAATTGATGCTGAATTTGTTGATGGTACATACACCACAATTAAGACTCTGACACGCCATCCAAAAGGAGTGAGACTGAACTTCGATGTGGGAGCGCAGACTAATCGGGTACTTACGATGGAATTGCAGAATTGCTTGCTCACTAGATTATTAAAGAAGCCATGTTTATTTTAGGTCAACTTGAAATCAATAAGGTTATCTTTTACATATAAGAAAAATGAGAACCCTTTAATACACAAGGAATCTTTTCCTGTTCTCTCTGCCTTTGTCAAAGACAGAAAAGTTGGGAAAATAAACCACAATTATTTTTATGTATGTTTATGATTTATCTTTGTCTGCCTCTCTCTCTCTGTGCATCTGACTCTGAGTCTGTCCCTGTCTCTGTTTATCTATCTATCTATCTATCTATCTATCTATCTATCTATCTATCTAT